AGAGATTTGATTGCAGTTATCTGGGTAATTCCATGATATATTGAAACTAAGTGATTTGTGATCACTTTCCCCAAGCTCATCATTAACCACAAGATTATTAATGAGTGATTTTTGTTAGCAAGAACCAAGTCAAGTAGATTGTTTCCTCTAGTTGGTTTTGTGACAGAACCAACTAGAGGAAACAATCTACCTGACTGTTTCAAAAAGCAATCCTGAACCATATCATGAAAGTCACTCGACTCAAGATTTCCTGTCACACTGTGACAGGAAATCTTAGTACAACATTTTCATATCTAGATGCCTTATGAATTTCGACCCATAACAGCTTACTGCCCTCCCTATCAAGGTTTGGGGGCCAATATATCACACCCGAAATTAATTTGTCACGACCCTCAAGAAACTGTAGCCAAACAGATTCTGTGTCCGATGTTTCTAATCTTATATCTTGTCTAAGACAATTTAAATTTTCTCTGACATACATCGTCACTCCACTACCCTTCCTGTTGACTCTATCACTGTAGAATAGTTTATAACCCTGTATGTCGCATCCAGAAGGCATTTCTCTATCAGGTTGAACCAGGTCTCTGTTATACCAATATCTATTGTACTTGTAAATAATCTTAGCTCATCAATCTTATTTCTTAGAATCCTCCTATTTGTATAGTAAACCTTAAGGGAGCTAGTCACTCGTTGCCCTCTACTATCTCTCTCTGTTTGTTGATCAATTGCTTTGCATTTACTAGCAACTTTATTTTGAATATTGTCTTTCAAACATATCCCTGAGGTAAACCGGTAATATATGCTGTTCTCAACCTTAATACTGCATCCTGGTTGTTTCCCACAAACACCCATACCTCTATAATCTATCAGTTTAACGTCCTAGACAAGTCATCAATTACCCTCTCAATCGAACTAGCTAATGCAACCACTCCAGCCCCAGAGAGATGAACCCCATCCCTTGCATACATATCATGTTTGCCATAGAATTTGCCCCAGCTATCAATGAATGGGATTGCAAGTTCCTTGCAGTACCTGTTTAGCCAGCAATTTATGCCAATTGCCCTAGACATCCATTCACTGCCCACTCCTTTTCTAGGCAAGGTGCTACATATAATTGGGATTCCTCCCTTAGACCTGACTACTTCTATGGCTGACCTGTACTTATCCATTAGCTCCTGTCTCCTGCCCTTCCCAATGACATTACCCCCAGCACTAAGACAGATAATGGGCTTGTTCCCATTACCAAACATAATATTACCCAACCTGTTGACTATGTCACCAACACCAGCTCCTGGGAGGCACACCCTACGTCTGACCTGCTTATCTGTGTTACAAAAAGCACGGTATATATATCTTGCCTGAGAATCTCCTACAATTGGAATATTCTTACCTTGATTAGCAGAGGAGTCATTGATGCCTTTAATCTCACTAACCACTGAAGTACACTCGTCCTGGAGAACAGAGAATCGATTTCCTACTTTCACATCTTCTCTATTAACCCTCCTTATCTTCCTTCTTCCTGAGCTGTGAACCACTTGCCACTTAAACCAGCTGCCACTTTCACACCTGGTGACCATTTTCTCTTTACCAGCTCCATCCATCTCACACTCACTCCCAGACCCATATACGCGAAGCTCCAGCCTCCTATTTTCCTCCTGAAGAAGCAGAACTTCCTTCTTCAACACTTTAACATGACATTTTAAAACACTACAACAAGCCATGGTGCTTGGTAACACCCAACGCTAACTCCCAGAGAGCTTAGGATAGGTATGACCACACATGACCACTGACCTCAGCATAGACCACTGACGTCAGCGTACTGAGAAGAAGCGACTGTCTAACGTTATCGCATGAAACTAATTTCGGGTTTTCTATATAAAATTGGGAAAAGGGCACCTATTCTTGCCAATTATTGCACAATCCTTTCTCTAGTTATAATTCCCCAAATTCGAAAATTTGAAGACTTATGGAAAAGGCGATCTAAAATTATAAATGGGGGAAGTTAGTGGAAGAACACTGAAGTTAATAATATGATGGCTCTGGCATAAAATATGATGGCTCTGGCATAAAATGATACACACACACACACATATATATATATATATTATATATATATATATATATATATATATATATATATATATATATATTATTTTTTTTTTTTCTCAACAAGTTGGTCGTCTCCCACCAAGGCAGGGTGACCCAAAAAAAGAAAATCCCCAAAAAGAAAATACTTTCATCATTCAACACTTTCACCACACTCACACATTATCACTGCTTTTGCAGAGGTGCTCAGAATACAACAGTTCAGAAGCATATACGTATAAAGATACACAACATATCCCTCCAAACTGCCAATATCCCAAACCCCTCCTTTAAATTGCAGGCATTGTACTTCCTATTTCCAGGACTCAAGTCCGACTATAAGAAAATAACCGGTTTCCCTGAATCCCTTCACTAAATATTACCCTGCTCACACTCCAACAGATCGTCAGGTCCCAAGTATCATTCGTCTCCATTCACTCCTATCTAACACGCTCACGCACGCTTGCTGGAAGTCCAAGCCCCTCGCCCACAAAACCTCCTTTACCCCCTCTCTCCAACCCTTTCGAGGACGACCCCTACCCCTCCTTCCTTCCCCTATAGATTTATATGCTTTCCATGTCATTCTACTTTGATCCATTCTCTCTAAATGACCAAACCACCTCAACAACCCCTCTTCTGCCCTCTGACTAATACTTTTATAACTCCACACCTTTTCCTAATTTCCACACTCAGAATTTTCTGCATAATATTTACACCACACATTGCCCTTAAACAGGACATCTCCACTGCCTCCAACCTTTCTCCTCGCTGCTGCATTTACCACCCAAGCTTCACATCCATATAAGAGTGTTGTACTACTAAAACTTTCATACATTCCCTTCTTTGCCTCCATAGATAACGTTTTTTGATCCACATATACCTCAACGCCCCACTCACCTTTTTTCCCTCATCAATTCTATGATTAACCTCATCCTTCATAAATCCATCCCCGACAGTCAACTCCCAAGTATCTGAAAACATTCACTTCTTCCATACTCCTCCTCCCCATTTTGATATCCAATTTTTCTTATCTAAATCATTTGATACCCTCACACCTTACTCTTTCTTTTGTTCACTTTCAACTTTCTACCTTTACACACATTTTCAAACTCATCCACTAACCTTTGCAATTTTTCTTTAGAATTTCCCAATAAGACAGTATCATCAGGCAAAAAGTAACTGTGTCATTCCCATTTTGAATTTGATTCCCCCTAATTTAATCCCACCCCCTTTTCCCCAAAAACCCTAGCATTTACTTCTTTTACAACCCCATCTATAAATTATATAAACAACCATGGTGACATTACACATTCCCTGTTTAAGACCTACTTTTACCGGGAAGTATTCTCCCCCTCTTCTACACACCCTAACCTGAGCCCCACTATCCTCATAAAAGCTCTTTACAGCATTTAGTAACTTCACCTTTCCATATACTTGCAACATCTGCCACATTGCTCCTCTATCCACTCTATCATAGCCTTTTCTAAATCCATAAATGCAATAAAAACTTCCCCACCTTTATCTAAATACTGTTCACATATATGCTTCAATGTAAACACTTGATCTACACATCCCCTACCCACTCTGAAGCTCCCTGCTCATCTGCAATCCTACATTCTGTCTTACCTCTAATTCTTTCAATTATAACCTTCCGTATACTTTTCCTGGTAAAACTCAGTAAACTTATTCCTCTATAATTTTTACTATCTTTTTGTCCCCTTTCCTTTATATAGAGGGGGCTATAATGCTATCCGTCAATCCTAGGTTACCTTCCCTCTTTCATACATTTATTAAACAAAAGTATCAACCCCTCCAACACTTATCCCCCTGCTTTTAACATTTCTGTCATGATCCCTCAGTTCCAGTGCTTTCCCCTTTTTTTTCTACTTTAAATGCCTCACGTCCCCCCAAAAATTTAAATTTGGCCCTTTTTCAAAAATTGTTTAACTCTTATTTTCTTTAAAATTTCTTGACGGCCCCCCCACTCTTTCATCTGCTCCCCTTTTTGCACTCTCTCACCACTCTTTCCCCTTTCTTTTACTCCCATAACTTTTGCTCTTCTTATAACACTTCTGCTTTGTAAAAACCTCTCGTAAGCTACCTTTTTCTCTTTTATCAACCCTTTACTTCATCTTTCCCCACCAATCGTCCTCTTTCCTCCTGCCCCCACCCTCCTATAACCACAAACTTCTGCCCCACATTCTAATACTTCATTTTTAAAACTATTCCAACCCTCTTCAACCCCCCCCCCCCCCCCCCCACTACTCATCTTTGCACTAGCCCACCTTTCTGCCAATAGTCGCTTATATCTCACCCGAACTTCCTCCTCCCTTAGTTTATACACTTTCACCTCCCTCTTAGTTGTTGTTGCCACCTTCCTCTTCCCATCTACCTCTTACTCTAACTGTAGCTACAACTAAATAATGATCCAATATATCAGTTGCCCCTCTATAAACATGTACATCCTGGAGCCTACCCATCAACCTTTTATCCACCAATACATAATCTAACAAACTATTTTCATTACGTGCTACATCATACCTTGTATATTTATTTATCCTCTTTCATAAAATATGTATTACTTATTACCAAATTTCTTTCTACACATAGCTCAATTAAAGGCTCCCCATTTACATATTTACACACACACACACACACACACACACACACACACACACACACACACACACAACACACACACACACACACACACACACACACACACACACACACACACACACACCACACACACACACACACACATATATATATATATATATATATATATATATATATATATATATATATATATATATTATATTTATTATTCAACAAGGCCGTCTCCCACCCAGGCAGAGTGATCCATAAGATCTCATGTCCATTAGCCAGCCAGCCACATTTGCCCAATGCATTACCTGAATTTTCTCCTCCATGATGCCCAGCCCGGTCTTTTTCCCTACTGCGAACATGGATACCACCCACGTTTGAGGTCTCTTGGGGAAGGTAAACACCCGGATCTCTCGCCCTACTCGGCGTAAATCCTGCCAGGCCCAGTCACCTTTTTCAGGGTCATAGAAGCGGTGAAGGCGACTCAAGCGCATGATGCGGTATTCTCGAAGAGGATCCACGACAACAGGACCTACAGATTGGTGTATGACCCACAGAGAATTAACACTACACAAGAGCATTAATATTAATTCACCTTTGATTATATATAATTTATCCAATAAATTATACTCATTTACTAATACAATTTTCTATTCTCCTTAATGATTGTAGTAAAATAAGAAATGTGTGCAGTATTAAGATATTTCATTGAAAAATTTCGCTACGAACAGTTTAGTTTCATGGCGAAATGTTTACTCAATAAAATTTGCAAAATTTGTGCATTTGGCTTTTATACATTTTTCTTGATTTTATTCCACATCTTAACCATTATGCTGATATACCTATAATAATACACCTGGAAATGATTGTCACACTGTAATGTCCAGTACTGTGTGACATTTGAAGTTAGGCAACAAGAGTAAGTATAACTCACAGCCGGCCTCGTCTGAGTGGTCAAGACAGTCATGGCGAGTGTCGCAGCGTTGCTTGTGGCTGTAGCAGCCACCAGTAAGACACTTAAACTCCCACTCGCCACAGTCCGGAGTCGCTGTAAGAACAACATACACGTTAACAAAACGTTGAAAAAAAAAGAGGAAATACAGAGAAAATATGTGGACAGGTAGATGAAACCTTATTTTCAATGAGATTTTTTCCTTCCTACCAGTGTCTTTCCGTTTGTCGGTCTGCACCATTGCTTATAAAAAAAATGCAAAATAGAGGCGAAATTATTTACAAACATTATCTCTCTTGCAAACTTGGCATTAGAGTACACAGTACGTTATCCACAACGCCAGACTCTGGAGTAAAGGAAGTTTTCTGGGCGAGGGGCTTGGACTTCCAGCAGGCGTGTTGGAAAGGTGTGAATGGAGATGAATGGTTTTTGGGACCTGACAAGCTGTTGGAGAGTGAGCAGGGTAATATTTCGTGAAGGAATTCAGGGAAACAGGTGAGCTGGACTTGAGTCCTGGAAGTGGAAAGTACAATGCCTGCACTTTAAAGGAGGGGTTTAGAATATTGGCTGTTTGACATCTAAAACTGTCGTAACTGAGCGCCTCTGCAAAGACAGTGGATGGTGGATCAGGGCCTAAATCCTAAATCGAGATCCCTCAGAGTTGTGATTTTTTTTGCAATCATGTTACGATTTCGTGTCATAATACATATTACCTTACCGGTTAATTTACTGGCTGGTTTATTAGCTATAAACCCTGCTGATTGCGCCGGGATCGTTATGGCTCCACTTCACTTATACAGCATCAGACTAGAAAATCTTATTTATAAAATATATAAATATTAAATTCCCAGTATAACTTTAATCATTTAAGAAAATATTGAAGTGAACTTTCAGCGCATATACTCTTGTTAATATGTCATGTACATAATGTCTTCAAAATATATAAACTGGTTGCAATTCTCTTATTAATTTTAAGTAATTTTATTCAGGATAGGATACACCAGGAATACATTTTCCAGCTGTTAGAAGTCAGCTTTAAAATTACTCGTGACAGTTAATATAATTGTTTGCATTCGCTGCTGTGTATTCTACCATTCATATTGTCCTAATATTACCGCTACATCATGCAAAAAATACCGTAATATTATAGCTGGTAGTGTTTTGTTGGTAAGGAAATAGGGCAGTGTCCTCTGACACGGGTCTTAAGCTCATAATGAAACACTGAAATTGTATCATCCGCTGACGTACCGGAACTTAGCTTTCACAAAATTAAAAAAAAAATCATTACCTAGTAGTATATCGTTAGATAACGATACCCTTACGGGCGTACTATTTAATTGGGTTCAGTCTACTAATTACATGAGAGTTTAAGGCTGCATGTAACCTGTTCACCACCAGTTCAGAATAAATTTCTAAAATATAGATTAAGGTAAACCATCAGTGTTGTTAGGTAAGACACATATGCAACAGTCAGGTATCTTTATTATGAAACGTTTCGCCTACACAGTAGGCTTCTTCAGTCGAGTACAGAAAAGTTGATAGAAGCAGAAGATACTTGAAGACGATGTAATCAGTCCATCACCCTTAAAGTTTTGAGGTGGTCAGTCCCTCAGTCTGGAGAAGAGCATTGTTCCATAGTATGAAACAATATGGAGATGAAGTGACAGGATGGAGCCTTATATAGTGCCAAGAGGTGAGACGTAGGTCACTAGAAGAGGTAAGAACTCAAGTATCTTCTGCTTCTATCAACTTTTCTGTACTCGACTGAAGAAGCCTACTGTGTAGGCGAAACGTTTCATAATAAAGATACCTGACTGTTGCATATGTGTCTTACCTAACAACCTGTCGGTATTTTATACCATTTTAATGTTAAACCATCAGTGTATGTACACTGATGTATAACTAGTTACTGAGGTTGAAATCCTATCGACTGCACTATGGTCTTTAAGGCTACACGTAACTTTTTCATCAACTGAGAATATTACTGTAACTCCTAAAATACATAGAGATATACATGTATACCTTTCTGTGTACACGTGACTCAACATAATGTTAACATTACCAGAATGTTATGCTAACATTACCACAATATATAGTTAATATTACCACAATATTATCCTTACATTACTGCAGAATTATGCTATCATACAATATGCAAATGCCGCCATTCCAAAAAATTCTTGAATTCTACTTATGTGTAACATTTTAATCTTTGGACGAAGGTCTCTCACAATTATATATAAAAGTCCATTACTTATACTGTGTATGTCACCGTTGGCTTGAATAGTTAGAAAAGTACACAAAATTTTTCACAATTTTTCGCACCTTCTGAATTCGTTTAAATTTTTATATTCCTTAGGATGACAGGTTGTTTACCTGAGGCGTGATGTGGGTGGTAGAAGAGGTCAGCATCAGTCAGCACAATAAGATGGCTGAAAGTAAACGTGGAGGGTGCATCAGGCCCGGCCATCGTTGTAGGAAAGAGGAGTACCTTAGCCCCGTTACCGTCCCTGGACCTAGTCAGTTAAATAATGAGATTTATCACTGGAGATGTATACATAAATAATCATTTCTAATACAGACAGAAGTAGAAAAAGAGAGATGTCAATGTTATTCGCTTAAAGAAAAATTACTCGTGAATTGTGGACAGACTTGTAATAGTATGGTAGTTGAAAAAGACACAAAGAGCAACTGGAAACTGTCTTACAAAGAGATTCCAATTACTGCTCAGGTTCAGGTAGGTTCTCCAGGACCCTGGCGAACCTACCTGAACCTACAGGGTCTTCTCCATGCGGTAACTCCTGTATAATTACTGCTTGTGGTGTGTCTCTATTACCTACAACGTAACAGACTTGCCTAGTAGCAGCACGGCGAAGGTGAGGTACGGAAACGTTCGCTCGTCCTTCATACACAGTGTCGTTCTTCTCCAAATCCAGCATGTGGTGAAGGACCCTGGCGGCATCCAGTTCGTGACCGGCGTCCATGTGATGTGTCTCCTCCCAGATTGCGGACACGGCGAAGAACGCTCCTGCCTCTCCAAGCATCTTCATCTCCGACGATCCACCTGTGTGGTCTTTGTGCTCATTCCACCGGATGCCAACCTGTACACGGGAAGTATGATAACTTAATATTTTCTATGAATAGGTTGTCATTTGGCACTGAGTTCTTTCAACTCAAATGAACTTAGGCAACGTGATGGATGATGATTTTTATTGTGGATAAGGTGTGACTGTTCGAGGAGCTGTGTATTCAGGGGCCTATCGTACTTTTAATTTTCTTGCATCGGTTTTTTCCAGTAAGTTATAAGTGTAACGAAACTGTGTGCAGTTTTTTTCAGTTACAGAATCTTCGAACAATCTCTCCTCTAAAGTTGTTCGTTGTCTGATTCATTTCGTTAACAGCCTAAGTCAAGGCCAGTATAGGATAACTTTAATCCCTAAAATAGGGATTAAAGCAAACTCTGTTTATACACTGAGGCCCTTCAATCTCTTGGTGTACATAACATTGTTCTCCTCCACTAAAATAATTCAATCACTTCAGAGCTAGATGGATGAAAAAGTTAAAAAGCTAGAACTCAATCAGATACAATACAGAAATAAATACATGAGTAGATGCAATGTCGTGGCTAGCTGTACCTAGTGGAAGTGTAACTCAGGTTCTCGAACTACCAATTTCAAGATGATCAGTAAACCATAGATCATGGGCACCGTATTTATCAGTACGGAAAGTAGTTGAAGTAATCGTAGTAGACATAATAGTAATATTAGTAGAAGCAGCCAGAAAGGTAGTTGTACCTGTTGTTTTAACAGTAGTAGTAGTCGTACCTGTTGTTTTAACAGTAGTACTAGTCGTAGTAGTAACAGAAATGGTAGTACTGACAGTAACACTAGTAGTAGTAGTAGCATGAACAGAACTAGATAAAGTAATAATAGTAGTAGAGATAGTTGCAGTCTAATCATTAATCTACTTTCATTTTTATTAATAAATGTCCAGGTATGTTTTCAACAAGCCTTGGTTATAACTTCCTTCTGTCGCAATGTCGACTGTAAGGTCTTCCCCCACCTGCCTTCAACCAGTCCCATTAATCACAGATATCATTTCACTGTTGTACAGACACTCAAATGGGAAACTGATGAAAACATCTTAAATACTAAAAATCTGACATGTCTACTGAGTTTAGTGGGTGTCAGTTTTCTGTTCATGTGAGAAGACCTTTTATCGCATTTATCTAACACACACAGACACACACACACACACACACACACACACACACACACACACACACACACAACACACACACACCACTATATATATATATATTTTTTTTTTCAACAAGTCGGCCGTCTCCCACCGAGGCAGGGTGACCCAAAAAAGAAAGAAAATATATATATAAATATATATATATATATAATTATAATTACATAATATGGTACAAAAGATTTGAGATGCATTGTTGATACAAAGATGGCATATACAGTATATGAGGTGTGAGAGATAAATGTCTAGTATATATTGTTACTTGTTAGTCACTAATTATAATGCGAAAATCTCATCCAGCTCCACAGAGCTGGGGTGCATACCCAAAATACAGCAGGCATTACCCCTCTGAACAGCAGTGATGAGTCGTTGGAACAGAAAACTAGCTGCCCTGAGATCCCTAGTTACCCTGTTGAGTCTTTTGCCTAGCTCCTTGAGGAACTAAGATGCACTCTTTCCCCATGAGCCAAAGGTTTCCGAGCCTATGGGAACAAACATATAATGATGGGCAATTTCTCTATATTTTCTCGACTTTTGGGACTCCCTGAAACTGGCAGGTGCCCCTCCTTCCTCCCTGGTGTATTGGAGATAGGTATCAGCCAAGGTAGATGCAAATTTGTAGTCCCACACCACCTGCTTGCCGTCTGTCCAGGCTTGAAGGGTGATACCATCTGGATGCTTTTGGCTCCCATCAGATCTGCATAGTTGGGGTGGCTCCCTTACTGCTGGGCATCCGGCTGTTGCGAGGCTCCTTTTGATAATGTTATTAACCTCTTCATGTCTTGCCATCTTTCCCTCGGATTTACGACACATAAGACCATGGTACCCGAATCGGTCTGCTGCTTCACTGCCACAAATACGCCGGTGTTGGGCGAGAATAGGGGCTGCAAGTCGAAGGGCAACACTAATGCGGATGGTCCGTTGGTCGAGGCGTATGCCAAGGCTGGAGTTGGAAACAGCCAACAGAAAGTCTCCTGCATGAGGAGCTCTCACTGCCAGGAGGCGGGATCTATCCTTCCCTGACACACTCTGAAGCACTGTTGATGCTATATTCTCTACTATTGGGCCATCCCAGTGCGACTGTTTGTAGTTGTTGGGGGGAGCAGGTCCGGTTTCAGAGCCCGTTCGATTATCCCAGATCCTGGCTCCGTCAACGAACTTTTGGTCATAGTCTCCAATCTTGTCCCTGAGAGAGATGTTCAGGGAGAATCGCTGCTACAAGCCCTCTGGATGCAATGCATGAGGACAGGAAAGTAAGTAGCGCAATCTATGATGACTTGCGGACACCAATGCCTCCTAGTATGACTGAAAGTGTAGCTTGGTTCCACTGCCTGTGTTCTAGAGTAAGGTTAATAAGTACTTGAGTAAAAATCTGCCATGTTTGCGGAAGATGCGGAGGATATATATATAATTTATATATATATATATTATATATATATATATATATATATATATATATATATATGTCGTGCCGAATAGGCAGAACTTGCGATCTTGGCTTAAATAGCAACGCTCATCTTGCCATATAGGACAAGTTAAAATTTGTGTATGCAATAATTTCGCCAAAATCATTCTGAACCTAATGAAAAAAATATATTTCACTGTGTTTGTTTAGTGTTAAATTATTGTAAATAATTCTAAAATATATTTAGTTGGGTTAGGCTAAAATAAATTGTTCTTGTTATAATAAGGTTAGGTAAGTTTTCTAAGATTCTTTTGGTGCAAAATTAAAAATTTTTACATTAACATTAATGAAAAAAATATATCTTTAAACGTATAAGAGAAAATTTTAGAAAGGACTTAATTTTAAATGAGTTCTTGCTAATTGAAAAGTTTTACATATTCGGCACGACATATATATATATATATATATATATATATATATATATATATATATATATATATATATATATATATATATATATATATATATATATATATATATATATATACACACACACACACATTTGATGCAAACGGTACGGATTTTTTTCTATTTGTTTTAATATTCACCTTCTCTTTTTTTCTTAAAAAAAATTAAGAGAAATTTAAGCAACTTTTTTGTTTAAATATTTATACCATTTTTCTAAACCGGGTTATCATAAATTACGAATTTCGCCGGAATGGAGTTTAGCATCAAAAACTGTAGATTTTAGGTTGTTTTGGTATTTTGTAGATAAGACAGTTCTGCGATTTTCAAGTATTTTTGTTTTAAGTATAAAAATCATTATTATACATATGTTTAAAGCAAAAATTTGTGGTTAGAAGAACAATTATTTCCATTAAAAAAAAAAAAAATTTATCTTCGATTATCTACGGTTTGATAGTAAACAGGACAAGTGTTTCTTGACGCGGGTCTTGGTCATATGATGACCCACAGGTGGAGCTGTGGGGCATCAGAAGCCGGTAAGTCAGCAGAAAGCCTGTCATCTGACCGATGCTTTCTGCTGGCTTACTGGTCCATCCATTTAAAAATTATGGCTACGATTATAACCATTTTGTCTGTGAGTAAGCCTGGCTTCATTATTTACTTAAGAATCATAAAAATATTGTAATATTATACCAGTCATTGTTCTTGAAATCCATATCTAGGCTTTCATCAAATTTACTATCAAAATATTTTATTTTAGTCGTTTTTATTGAAAAAAAAAAAATTAAAAAGTGCATGGTGATGAATTTTCTTACTTTTGGGGATACAATATATTAAAGTAACTCGTTTTTAATCCTGTTAACTCATCCGCAACACTTTTAAAGTCCAGTTTTCCTGTAGGCATATATGAGTGTTGCCATACATAAAAATAATTCGGGATTACCAACACGTTTCTCACTCTGATACACCTAAATATGCACACTTTCAATAAAAAATGGACAATAAATAAAAGCACTAAAGGAGAAGGCTCACTCTTTAATAGGCTATGTTGATACCATGTACTAACAAATCCTCAACCCCTCTTTACCTTTCTCATATCTCCCTACCTTCTCTGTATTTCTTTACCTTGTGTCGTCCCAGAGGATTAACGGGGACAACGAGGGCGTGAGAAACGAGCTGTCCATCTTGTGTCACCACCCAGACAACGATGTTTACAGCTGGGGTCATCTCTGTGGAGGCCGGCAGGGAGAAGGTGGTGACTGTGGAAAGCGTTTTATCCTTGACAGGTTCTCTCCCGTTGTATATCACCACACCTTGGGCCAACACCTGCAGTGAGATAACAGTGGTGAAGCATTCTTTGCGCTTGATATATAACATCACATGTTTACTTTTTGATATGTGGATTATCACCGCACGACCCAATCTCAGACGAGCTCTCCTAGGTAACAGCCTGGTCAGTAAGGCTGCTGGTATTTGTGGCATATATCGCGACGTTTGCCCAGCTTATTGGGAATGAACTGAAAAAAATCAACAGACAAAATAATAATAATAATAATTTCCATATGCTGCATGTTTTGGGAAACTTTTGTGATAATTTAACAATGTCTTGGTGTATTCCTCTCTTCCATGCATTTCATTTTAGATATTTTACAGCGTCCAAAGTGGTTCCATTGTCCTAGGAATTAAATTTGGTGTTCATATTCGGGAAGAGTTACTCCATTATTTTCCAGATTTTTTAAATAAATTGTAACGCATAAGTGGAATCGATTTTGCTACCTCTTTCTAGCAAATAGCACCTTACAAGCTAGTCAAAACCTGGACAAGACTTAAACTCAGAGCGACTGGTTCTCAAAAATTTCCAGACCAGCGCTGTTGGGAATTTTAGGACTGCCATGTCACGGGAAGATTCCTATTAGCTCTCAGACAGGATAACATTAGAACTGGATACTCTTTCTTTTCACAAATGCTAGATGATTGCGTCATGATCTGGGTCGTAATTACAGCTAAGCAGATTAGCACTGACAACGAGGGCAGATGAATTTCCCTCCTGCAATACAGGGACCACATAGTAATCAAAAACAGTTCTCGTTTGAGAAAGTTCCGTTCATCAGTGCACAGTATTCACTGTAAGTTTGTGATTGTCGTGAATTATTGCTACGGAAAAAATAATGAAAGCAGAAACACTGTACGAAACAACAATCAACTACTCGATGGAGTAAGTTTTTGCTCTATCTTCTCATACTCCCAGAGAATTTGACATGTGAGAACTTTGCTATTGGTCCATAGATTTTTGTGACTAGTTCATTTCCACCTTTGTGAAGTGAGTCTCACTGATCTTCAGAATATTTTGTCACGACGCTTGTATGCATTTTTTTTATCATTATATTTATGCGACATACAAAGGAGTGTGTCTACACCTGGGTCACTGTGTATGAATATGTTGTCAATTCCTTAAAAGTTAAGGGGAATTAGAATTTTTAGAAATGTTTACAGAAATTAATGTTCATATTTTGCTCATTACTGTCATGCAATAACCCTTGGGCAAAAGCCATGATGGTGCTTTTTGCCTTTGATTTCTCACAGGAAAAATTTTGTGCTACTTTCATTTTCACTGATAGCTGCTTGCTCGCTATATGAATTTTCTTTTTTTTCTAATTTGCACTCATTTATTCTTGAAAAGAGGTATGGACGTGAAAATTGACTTTAAACGTGGAGTCTGGAGGCAGTGACGATGTCGTGTTTGGAAAAAAAAATGTGTAATGCGAATATGCAAAGAATTCGGAGCATAGAAATTCAAGGACGAAGTGATGTTACTAGTATAATTTAGAGGGTTGATGTATTCTTTAAATGGCTAGGACATCTAGAACCGATGGAGCAAACCAGGATGACCAAGAGAATGTGTAAATAGAAGGTGGGAGAAAAGAGGGGTCAAGTCAGCTACAGGAAGAGTTGGAGGAAAGGAATGAAGTGCAAGTGTCTTAGACTGGAGTGTAGCCTCGTGATTTTCTTTTACTTCTGGAAGTGTTGCTGGAGTGTGAGCATGGTAACATTTATGAAGAGATTCAGGAGAACGATTAACCAAACTCGAGTCCAGGTGTGAAGTATAGTGCGTGTACTCTGCCAGAGGAATATTGACGTCTCAGCTCTGAGAGAAATTTGAACTGTGATATCTGCACACTTCTGGCAAGACAACTATCGAATGAATGATGGTGAATGTTTCTTTTTATATTATTGTTCTGAGTCAGCCTACCTCAGTGGAAGACGGCGGGTGTGTTAAGAAAAATATGAACCTTAAGAGAAGTTCTGTGACTCTTCTTTCTCGTCCTATGGACGGAAAAATCTTCACATTTTTAAACTTGAATCTACTTTTTTTGTTTCTCTCTATTGTAAGTCTCGAGCAACCGCACTAATCTCCTCCAGGTATAGAAATATATACCTGTTATTCATACTCTCTTCCCGGCACTGTATGTGAGATCATGATTTAGTTTTCTCCCCGCTACAATGATTCATGCTAAAATTAAGTTTCATGAAAACATTTTTGCACTAATTTGTATTAGGCTGTTCAGGTATGTTGCCCAAGCCTAAACTTTATTTAGTTTATCATTCCATTTTCATGTGGTCAAGTCAAACATTTGTTTAGTACCAAATACTCGTTATTTGATATTTTTAATGTAGTTGGTCGTGTTACATACTTGATATGGAAGCTTTTCTTTTGAAGTGCATTCATTGATTTTTATTACTTGTTCTTCTAAACAAAAGTTTTTCATTTTCTGTTATTATTTTCTTTCTTCTTCCATTTCAGGTGTCAAACACTGGAGTATCAAACAAGATGATAATCAGGACTAAAATTATTTGGTTTTAGACTCAGAATTTGGTTTTTATTAATTATGTTAAATCTGATTTACATTCATGAAAAAAAGAACAGTGTTTTTTTTTTTATTTTATTTTTTTTTTTTTTTTCTATGCTGACTTTTTCTATGTTGGCGCTTTTCTTTCCATGTTATTTTTTACATTCAAGTTGGTAAGTTGAAAGATAATTTTTTGATAAAATATATTTTTCTATTAATACTAGTCTCTAGTTTAACCGAGGTACAAATGTATAACATTGGGATGATGATTATCCCATTTGCTTGTTAGATTTAATGCTTATTACAGGTGGATCATTAAGGCTGCAATCCAGATACTAACATCAAGTAAACTTCAATTATAACATTATATAGCTGTTTGCTAATGCAATTATGAAATTTCATTTATACTCCCTCAAGACTTCTGCGTTTTTGATATGTCATGTACAGTATTTTTTCTTGTATTTACTAAATTTTCCGTAAGCTGTAGAACTAAACAAACCATGGAACAAGAATAAAAAATATATCTCTTGTGTTGATGGAAGAATCAGCTTAATAATATAATGACAATCTTTATTTCTACAAATACATGATTTAACTTATACAGATCTATCAATGATATACTATATACACAGCCCCTGGTTATGCAGAGCATTTCGGTCAACTTAGATTTCGTCCCCAGGATGCAACCCAAACCAGTTGGTATTTACTGGTATTGGGTATTTGGTATTTTACCAGGTATTTACTGCTATGTGAACTGGGACAGTAAGTGCCTTAAGTAAATACGCCCAATGTTTTCACCCGTACTAGGGATCGAACCATGGACACTCAATGTGTGAGCTGAGTGCGCTACCAACCGAGTTAGGGGACACCACGTGTGATTTTTATAATTACAGGTAATATTACTTAAAATAGCAAACAATAACTATCATTTCACAAGAAGTGTAACAAAACTGAAGTTAGGTAGCTTGTGAGGAAATTTAAGTAGCAATATGAGTACAGTCTGGAAGAACCAGTAGTATCAAGTAGCACTGTGAGTACAAGACTTGTAGGAAAATAATTTTCTTCATATAAAAAATGCATGGCGCTATTGTAAGATCACAAAAAGGAAGATACCAAGAGACAAGGAAATTCATTGTACGTTTACCTACCACGTAGTTGAAGTGATCAATGTAGAAGTTGTTTCGGACATGAAATATGATGAATTCTCCTGGTGTGGCGTTGATAGTAGATGTCTCAATCTGTAGGTGACGGTTTCTGGGCGAGTGATGCAGCGCCCCCACCATTGTGGCTGTTGCTGTCATACCACTGCTGGTCACCAACCTGCAACACACCATTATCAACATCACACAGTGCATCCTGGTGCTGACACCCCGTCCTCACCATAACCACACTGTACTCCTTACAGTGAATATATTTAATTTAAATGATAACATTTACTTAATGCATGTAATTAGTGAAGTATATATTTGTTATGACTTAATATTTAGGAAGAGCGGCCAAAGTAGCTATTGCTAAAGGTAATACTCAGAAAGAACTCTTCACAGATCTAGTTCAAATACCTCCACTAAATATTTTGATGAACCATTTCTTAAGTCGTCTTGGTGGGACTTACATGCAACCAATAAACTCAGTTGCTGTGGAAATTTTTGAGAATTTTCCTACGATTTGTGCGTGGTAACTGATAGGGATATTAATGTTTATGTAACAATGCAAGTGTGTGTTGTTGTGACTTTTGAAAAGTGTCAAGTCGCTGGGGAACCAATATCCCCTATAATTTCCTTATTTATCGTAATCAGTTAATTAAAATGTAATTATTGTAATGTTGGAAAAGTTAATATTCTGATCAGGCAAATGTATTACACACCTGGAAGTGTCAATGAATTTAAATAAAAATGTGTACAAAATAGGTGAGAGGAAGGAGAAACAAATATGGTGGTACGGGAAGATTATTATTCAACGATTTGATGAATGTTTCTGAAATTAGTGTCAGTAATATCCGCGGACCGTTAACTGTTACAAGATAAGTGAAGAATTAACACATCTGGAAGGGTCCAGATATATATTAAAATGAGACCATACAGGACAATGTTGGCCGTACCACGTACATCATACAATAATTAATGTACGCCCCCACAACATGGTGGCTAGATATTGGCTAATATTAGGTTGGCTTTCTGTTGGAAGGCGTTAGGATATATCATTAAGGTAATAGCTTAATAAGTTATATGTTCTTCACTTACTGAAATAATGTGCTTAATAATTGTTAGTTTGATTCAGTTAGTAAATCAAAATACTTAAACCTGTGAAGCCCATATACCTTGTTTATAATTATACAGCGTACCTAATTCGCCAATTTTACTGGCGTAAATTTTCATAATATACAAGAGCCATATGTTCCTAATCCAGGGTTCCGGAGTTGGTTGGGGAGCTGAGACGGTGAACTAGGAAGGAAGGACATTGTTTGCGACCCCAGTGTTTCCGAAGCCTCGCAAGTCTCCAAGATATATCGACATCAATAAGTTAAAAAATTGTTTTTGTGTCTAGAGTTCCCCCCAGTGTGTGGGCGGAGGGTTAATTCGAAACTGTGTTCTTCTGGAAAATATCCTTCACTTTATTTCTAACAGTTGCTTCCTTCAAGCTAACCTGGTCAAGATGCTTATTCCTTTCACAAGAGACTTTAATTAAAACCATTAAGGAATAGAGGATTATTATTATCAACTGACAACACTAGTCATCATTAGCTCATAGTTTAATTTAAAAATTATGGAAGGGGAACCACTACAATAATGACTTGCGTAAACTGATAATAGCAAATAATTTGCACGGGAAATTATAAACGGACAGATCAGTTAAAGGTTATATAGCGTAAATCCACATTCTTTTTTGATAACATCTTATAGTAATGTGAAAACAAAATAATGTAATAATGGGAATATAACAGTTTAACTTATCAAATAATTCACCCTCAAAAAACTACATTATAAATACATTCAACCTCACCTCTTGTAGCGTTGTTCTGCCTGTTTCTTGTGTACAATGTCTTGCCCTAAGCTCACCCATCCTCTAACTAGTCAAAAACCTAATACAAGAGGCCTCCTATACTAAGAAAAAGGAACAGTTAGGGGTACTTGTCCAGGGATGAGGCTAAGATACAGGATTAGGATTAAGACGACGAGAGCTGTCGTGAGATGGGAAGGAAGAAGGGTAAGGAAGGATGGAAATGACTGTAAAAGGATTGGAAGGAGGAGAAGAGGAGGAATCAAGGCAAGTGGCCCAACCACTTTGGGACATGTGGTACCGAAGTACTGGAGACGTAGATGGAGAAGCTTGAATGATGTCGTTACTTGGCTCACTAGGAGAGGGTGGCGAAGGCAGCGGTAGGAGCTGGGAGTGTCAGAAGGCAGCAAGCAGGTTGAGTTGTATTGGTGGTCAGCTTGAGGTGTGTTAAGCTACTATCCCATTAGAAATATTCTGGAACTTCTGTATTGACATGTGCCTGATTCTAAATTTGCAGTCTTGGTCGATCTTTGGAGAATTAAGGACATTGATGAGTTCTCTAAGGTAGAGAAAACGTGATGGACAAACGACGTACTCGACTTCTTCACTTTGGAGGGGGATCAATGTCTGTGCATCCATTTCTTTAGGATAATCAGAAGTAGTGTAGAAAGTGAATCCACGTATCTTATTATATTGTTGTTCATCCTTAGAGTAATAGACAGGTGAAGTCATTGATTGGTCATTTTCAAGAAGTGTTGAAGGTGGAAGTGTAGATACGTTGTCAACTTAAGTAGACGAATTAGATGTTTCTGGTGGCAAGGTTTCTGATTGGTTGGATTCAGTGAGGAGTGGTGGCGGTGGAGACTTCTTATTGGACGTTGTTGGAGTGACGTCATTAGTTGTTGGTGATGGTGTTGGAGCTGCTGCAGCAGAGGTGGTATCGTCGCTATCTATTATTAATTCCTTCAAGTCATCTGGCGCTTCAAAAGTGACGATCTTCGGGATTATTTACAAAATATCAGCTGATGGTGGACTTGCAGGGAAGTTAAATGATGGCATGTTGTTAAGTGCAAGAAGTTCATTAATAGTGTTGAAAGAGCCAGGTTTTGCAGTATTTTGCATGTGAGCAAACATCATGCAGTAATAGAATTTGGTAGAGATACCATCAGGTGGAGGCTGGGTAGTGAGAGGTGGTGGGGACAACTGTTGAGTGGCTTGTAGAATCTTGGATGTTGTTGATTGAATCTTCGCAATTGCAGCGTATGAAGGAGAGGTTCCAGATGACTTCTTAGTTTCTTCCTTCAGTTTCTTAGAGAGGATATCCTTACGCACTGGACATTTGGCTGCAAGAGTATGGTGGTCACTCTTACAGTCGATGCAAGTGGGAGCAGCAGTGGAATAGCAAGAACGAAAATCGTGACCTGCAGACCCACAGGTGGAACATATCTTCTTATTCTTCACGTGGCAGTCGGCAGTAGAGTGGTTGTACGAATAACATGTCCAGCAAGGTGTTATGTACGTGAAGCGTTCAGGTTCAATCTGACGAGGGTTCATGTAGTAGTAAGAGATGGCCAGGCCATCAGACAGTGCTCTGGTTGCCATCGTAACGTCTAGAAACGTGACTTTGAGCATCGAGGAAGCGTTGGGGATCTTCACAACAGTCAATCTTGGCCCAAGTGTTGAGGTCTTCAAGTGATGACGTAATTTCCTCGATTTACATGTTCGTGATTAGCCTGTCAAGGCGTTTCATGAACACAGAGCGTTTTGCACGCATGTATGGTGATGTGGAGATGGTAAAACCGCAGTCTTCCAATGTCTTCATGACTGTAAGTGTAAGTACTTTGTCAGCTTCAGCATCATCGAGAAAGGTAACGATAAATGCTTCTTTCAGTGAGGTAGTCTTGGAGAATTTGGCGTGAAGACAAGTGTTGAGTGAGGTTGCAAGCTCAAGCTTCGTGGTGTCGTCAACGGCAGCAGACTTCGGCTTAATTCTCACACGATGTGACATCGTGGAGATGGTAGAGGTTCCCCTCCCCAACGGGGATCGTAGGGATACTGTGCAAGTAATGAGAGCTGCTATGACCTGCCAAGGCGAGAGTCAGAAGCAGAATCTGTGTCCAACACACTAAGGAAATGAATGTTGCCTGACTGGTCAGATACAGGATACGTTGGCAGACTACAGGTTTTCTAGTTCACAAGTGGAGATTTCTACTCAGGCAGCAAATAATAATATCTTTAAATTGTCCATTGCTTCTATTACTGTAGCGTCGCACGACATAAATTATATCGTCACCGTTATATGAATTATTAATAAATTAAGACGAATGCCTTCTCTTATTAAGGCAGCAGATGTTTTTTAAATTGTCGATGAGTAACACTGATTATTTCAAGTTAAAAAAAAAAGTATTAATGGTAATTTTTGTCGCAGTATTGTGCACAACACGTCCTCCCTCCATCACGACTACAGTATCACTGGCTGCTACTGACGGTGTACTCCCGTAGTATTACTGGTATACACAAAATTTCATAACTTAAATATCATTTATTCTTATTTATGAACTGATTCTTCACTGTCGTCAATTTGCAATCACATCCACTGGCTGGCTCAGTGGATGTTGAGTTAGCAAGCTAATAGACCTCAGCCTGATCTCTTCTCAGGTAAATGGCAACTGGATGTAGTTACCATGGTAACAAATGGTTAGAAGGCAAAAAGTGTAGGAGACACTTTTCTTAGTAGTATTGTAGTAATGAAATATAGTTCGAGATGTTAATGAATTTTTTGTATATTTCAAAACAATACACTGCTTAGTTCAGGTGCATATTACTGCATTCATATGGAAACTAACTGGAAAAAACTATAAAATAATAAATTAATATTAAATATTTATTAAATTTAAACTAATCTATGAATTTTTAGTAGAATTTCGTTAAAAAAATACGTTAAATTAGGCTAGGTTTCTAAGTTGAGCGCATTTTTTTTTTTTACGTTCAGATTGACCAACTGTTAGACACTAGATACCAAAGGATGAAGGAAGTATTTTAAGAATAAACAGAATAAGGCAGCCAGCCCATAAATGTTGTAATAAACAGGAGAATATATTGCTAATGACATGTCGAAAATCTAGATAGAGCTATTGAACTTCCATACATTTTGTTATAAAGAAATAAGTTAGCCTTTCTCGTGTTTTTGTCATTATCTTCTCTAGTTGTGGAAAAATTCTCACGAAGTAGCCTCATAGATAAAAAAATAGTTACATTCCAAAAACATTCTCGAATTGATTCATTCAGTGTTAGGGAAACATTCCATGGTTATTAACATTTCT